AAACTCAAGTTCAAGTCAACATAATCCAAAATTCTAAATAAATTCAATATTTTAAATAATTCAACAACATTCTAAATAATTTAATATAATCTAACACAACATAATGTAGCATAACATATTTCAACATAACACAAACAACAAATGTCTAAAAGACTAGAGGTCTACTGCAGCCACTCACAAAAACCAGAGGCTAGCAAAAAATTAAGGCTTTTGGGCAATAAAGTGTTTGTGAAAGAGATCTTATAGCTATTATCCTGTCACAAAGGTAGCCTCCTAGGAGCCAAACAAATTCATATATGAAATGTGGTTCAAACTCGTAAATATTATTCTAGAGCTCTCTCAATTCTCCCAAGGCTCCAAAACCACTGTCGCCCTTGTATTGCAACCAGTAATATCACTGCCATTGATGCATTAAGTATTGAATTACTCATGCTACTCATAAAAATAGGCAGGAAAACAGAATTATATAAAAAAGTGATATTTCAAATGCCACATAACAACATTTTTACTTAACTCTAGTACATACACTCTTGTTTGATACATGTGGAGGAGGAGAAAAGAGGAACATGGAAGAACATAGAACAAAAGGGATATACTTGCATGAAAAAATAACATACAATAAAAGTGATATTTCAAATACCACATAACAACATTTGTAGTTAACTCCAGTACATACACTCTTGCTTGATACATGTGGAGGAGGAGAAAAGAGGAATATGAAAGAATATAGAACAAAAGGATATATATATATATATATATATATATATATATATATATATAACGGGTAACGGGGACGGGGCGTGGGTAAGGGTAAGTCCATCCCTGCACGGGTTTGTAGGAGTATCCCCATATACGTTTACCGTCTAATACGTATAGTCCATCCCTGATCCAAACGGGGAGGATTTGGACGAATACCTATTTTTTTCCGGTCCACTGTCACCCTTATTTCTTGTTCTTATTTCAAGCTTATTATTATATATTTATTTTTATGATTAGGGATGACTTTAATCCCGTTAAGCACGTCCACATATTGAATTTGGATCGAATTTCATCTATCAATATTCAAAACCAATTTTAAAACTTTGAATATTTGACAAATTCTTTTTATAGTCCTTAATAATATCTATTAAAAATCATACATTAGATTCGAAAGTATCCAATCCGAATAACTCAAATCTCAATTTTAGTTAAAATTCATGCTATTCAGATCGGATCATAAATTGAATCAGATATTGTCATGTTCATACGAAAATCATAAAAAATATGTATAGTAAGTCAGATTCGAACTCTAATAATCACTTAAAAATATTAATTTATATCTGACTAATCAATTTTGACCAACTCCTTAACATCTGCCACTTGTTTGTTGGCCCCAATTCTGAAATAAGCTAAGATAGGACTTTGTTTGGGATTGCTAAATTAATGTCCTTCCTATAAATTGTACCAAATTTTGGGTTTAAAATGACATTATCTTCATTTCTAGTAGGTTCATTGTGCCTAAATTAAGTGGCAGAGCAGCAAACATTTATGATGGGCTGGTCATATATTTTAAGGAGCAATGTTATAATTTAATTTGTTTATTTAATTAATAATCATTATTATTAGATGGATAGTAGGTCTCAATATTTGTTGATATTCTCTGCCAATCAAAACGTTGAGACAGAATAGGTTAACAAATTATATAATTAAATTAAGTCCAAAATAATATTTTTGTATATTATAAAATCATATTACTTTGGATTCATTAGAATAGCATTAGATAGCCTTGATCAGTATATGTTGCATCTTTATGTTCATACAATTTTTTTTTAATTTATTTATTGTGCAATAGATGTTTACGCTTACGCCAACTATTCCCTCGAATTTTAAATGCGGCTATCGTAGCTCAAGCTAGTTAAAGGATACATCCCCTGAGAAACAAGGGTGATTGACTTTTAAGAGGTGATAAATATCAAACTAGGGATCTCTTTCTTTCAAGAGGACAAGTTTGACCACAAGAGCATCCCAAAGCTTAGGAGCTTGGTTTCTTCTTGTGAATTAAATTAACCTAAAAAAAATACGCCCCCCCCCCCCCCCCACACACAAAGATATCATAGAAATCTATTTAGTTTTATTCAACATGGTACACCCACATACACCATAAGTTTCAACAAACGTTTGTATGATATCAGGACTTTTACCATTGTAGTACCAGTACAAAAGCACTTAAAAATTCCGTGAAGGTAAATATTCTAAGCGAGAAGCAAATAGCCAAATTCCTCACTTTATTTCCAGTCTCCTAAGGTCTATCTCAAGCAACGCTGCACCTAAACAAACAAATGAAAAAACACACACAAAAAAAACAAGCATTAAGCACCAACCAATCTATAAAAAACAAACTTCAAATCACAAAAAAATAAAATAAAATAATACTACAAATAACTTACTTTTGGCAGTTGACAGTGGGAGAGATTGGAACACTGCTTGGGACACCACACTTTTTGGGGAGATCAGAGGCAGCATCAGGCTTTATGTTGGGGTGATCTGCAGCAGCTTCCTTGGGAAATTCACAAGCAACTTGTCTCTCGGATTGACTCTGTGTCAACTCCTTCAAACTCTTCACCCTAGCACAACATTCAACCGATGGAGTACCATCTTGCATTAGATAGCCAATGCACTGGGAGAGCAAAGCTTGTACTTGGCCACAAGTAATGACCGCCTCACTTGGCCTCGCCACGAAAGTAGCCATGGCTAGAACCACCAACAAAGTTATGGCTATTCCCTTCATGGTTTGTCCTCGTGGAATGCTGAATTCTTGATTGTTTGCTTGTTTTTTGGTGCGTTGAAGAGGAAATGGAGGAGGGTATATATAGTCAGTAGGGGTGATTGTGTACAAAATGAGAAGTTAAGGGGTGTGACCGACATTACATAAGAGCTTCAGAAGTGGTTGTGGAGTTTTGGCTTATTAGGTTATTTTTGGATGGCATTTAGTTACCCTAGGGTGGAAACATGATGGGTGTGTGAAATCATCCCTTTCTCCTTTTTGTTTTGATCTTCCCTTAGATCTGTTACAGCTTTTATCTTCCTTGGAAGGAAGGATTGATCACGACTATACAACATTGGCCTATGCCATTGATTGGGACTCCGGGTGAGCTAGCCATAACAATGAATTGAGTGAATAAATTTGGTCCAAGAAGTATTATTGTGATCTCAAAGTTAAATGTCGTAATGAGCTTGCTAATGGTAATTGCACGTTTGAATATTTCTTTTTACCAATGGATTTGTAACCTATTAACAAGGTTATATTTTTCTCTAAGTAGACTATTTTCGTAAGGGTGTAATTACATATTTTGGCTAAATGATACGACAGGATATCTCAAATTATGGCATGGTGGTATTTGTGTATTGAATCGATCAAAATTCATAATCTGATTATTATATATCTTTATCCCTTGATTGAAGCAGTATGATTCAAATTCTTCCAGGTTTGGCCCAAACTCTTTTTTTCTCCTTTACTTTTCTATTTTTTTTTTGTTCATTTCGTCTTGGCACTGCTGTAGCTCAAATAAGACATGTTGGCCCTTTTTTAGTGGGGGAATATTAGGGTTTGATCGAAGCTAGGGTCCAACTTGATAGCGATCTAGCCCCTATAATGATCTTCACACCAGTATTGGGCCCAAGGAGCATGGTTTCCTGTTCTTATTATAGGCTCCTTACTATGTATTAACTTTTATGATTAAGGATGACTTTTATCCCATTAAGCACGTCAACAGATTGAATTTAAATCGAATTTCATTTATCCAAATTCAAAACCAATTTTAAAACTTTAATCAGAGTATTTGACAAATTCTTTTTATAGTCCATAATAGAATCTATTAAAAATCATAAATTAAAAGATTCGTTCTGAATAACTCAAGTCTCGATTATAGTTCAAATTCATGCTATTTAGATCGGATCATAAATCAAATCGGATATTGTCATCTTCATACGAAAATCCATAAAAAAATATATATAGTAAGCCAGATTTGAACTCTAATAGTAAGTTAAAAATATTAATTTACATCCGACTAATCAATTTCGACCAACTCCTTAAGATGCCTAAACTTGGCCACTTGTTTGCGGGCCCCAATTATGAAATAAGCTGAGATAGGACTTTGTCCAGGTTAGCTAAAATAAGGTCCTTTCTTTAAATTGTAACAAATTTTTGGGTTTAAAATGATATTATCTTTGCCTCTAGTAGATTCACCCATGCAGATTGCCTCCTTAAATTGCATTGGCTTGTTGTGTGATTGTCTATTGTTGCCTAAATTAAGTGGTAGAGCAGTAGACATCGGTGATTGACTCTCAATATTTGTTGATATTCTACGCCAATCAAAGATAGAATAGGTTAACAAATTATATAATTAAATTAAGTCCAAATAGTATTATTGTATTTTATAACATGAGATTACTTTGGAATTCATTTGAATAGCATTAGCAAGCCTTGATCAATACATGTTGCATCATTATGTTCATACATCTTGATTTTTTTTATTGTGTTATAAGATGTTCAGGTTTTCGCCGACTATTCTCTTGAGTTTTAAGTCCGGCTACTGTAGCTCAAGCGAGTGTAAAAATATATCTCCTCAGAAACAAAGGTGATTGACCCTTAAAGGGTGTAAGAAATATCAAACTTGAGATATCTTACTTTTAAGAGGACAAGTTTGATCACTAAAGCACCCTTAAGGTTAGGACTTGGTTTCTACTTGTGAATTAAACTAACCTAAAAAAAACAAGCCACACGCACACGCACACGCACACACAAATAGAGAGAGAGAGATCATAGAAATTTGTTTAGTTTTATTCAACATGGTAAACCCACATATACCATAAGTTTCAACAAACGTTGGTATGGTACCATGGCTTGTCCCGTTGTAGTACCAGTACAAAAGTACTTAAAAACTCCGTAAAGGTAAATATTATCATCGAGAAATCAATAGCCAAATTTCTCTCACTTTATTTCCAGTCTCCTAAGATCCATCTCAAGCAACGCTGCACCCAAACAAACATATGAAAAAACACACAAAAAAAACAAAACAAGCATTAAGCACCAACCAATCTATAAAAAACAAACTTCAAATCACAAAAAAATAAAATAAAATAATACTACAAATAACTTACTTTTGGCAGTTGACAGTGGGAGAGATTGGAACACTGCTTGGGACACCACACTTTTTGGGGAGATCAGAGGCAGCATCAGGCTTAATGTTGGGGTGATCTGCAGCAGCTTTTTTAAGACATTCACAAGCAGCTTGTCTGTCAGATTGGCTCTGTGTCAAGTCCTTCAAACTCTTCACTCCGGCACAACATTCTGCCGATGGAGTACCACCTTGCATCAGATAGCCAATGCACTGGGAGAGCGAAGCCTGTACTTGGCCACAAGTGATGGCCGCCTCACTTGGCCTCGCCACGAAAGTAGCCATGGCTAGAACCACCAGCAAAGTTACGGCTATTCCCTTCATGGTTTGTTCTCGTGAAATGTTGAATTCTTGATTGTTTGCTTGTTTTCGGGTGTGTTGAAGAGGAAATAGAGGAGGGTATATATAGTCAATAAGGGGTGATTGTGTACAAAATGAGAAGTTAGGGTGTGTGACCGCCATTACATAAGAGTTTCAGAAGTAGTTGTGGAGTTTTGGCTTATTAGGTATTTTGGGATGGCATTTAGTTACCCTAATGAGGAAACATGATGGGTGAGTGAAATCATCTCTTCTCCTTTCTGTTTTCATCTTCCCTCATATCTGTAGCAGCTTTTATCTTCCTTGGAAAGAAGGATTGATAATGACTGTACAACACTGGTGTATGCCATTGATTGGGACTCCGGGCGAGCTAGCGATATCAATGAATTGAGTGAATAAATTAGGTCCAAGAAATATTATTGTGCTCCAAAGTTAAATGTGGTAATGGGCTTACTAATCGTAATTGCATGTTTGAATATTTCTTTTTACCAATGGATTCGTAACCTAATAACAAAGCTATATATTTTCCTCTAAGTAGACTATTTTCGTAATGATGTAATTACATATTTTGGTTGAATGATATAAAAAGATATCTCAAATTATGGCAGCGTGGTATTTGTGTATTGAATCGATCAAACTTCCTAAACAGATTCTTATATATCTTTATCGCTAGACTGAAGAAGTATAATTCAAATTCTTCCAGGTTTGGTCCAAACTTTTTTTTTCTCCTTTCCTTTCCATTTCTTTTTTCTTTTTTTTTTATTTGTTCATTTCTTCTTAGCAATACTCCAGCTCAAATAAGACATGTTGGACCTTGTTAGTAGGTGTATATTTGGGTTTATTCGAAGCTAGTGCCCAACTTAATAGTGATCTGGGCCATAGAATTATCTTCACACCAGTTTCTGGCCCAAGGGCTATGGTAGTATTGGACAATTAGGTGCAATCTTAGAACGGCCGTAGGTTGTTCTTTGGGCCGACAGGGAGAAATTTTGGCCCAAGTGATTGCTTAAATTAGGATGCAAAATTGGTTGCTTATGGTTATTTCATTGGAGCTTTGGTATCTCATATTCGAGTAATAAAATAGTCAAGATAAAATTATGTACATTTAACCCTACGTGTTCTATGTATGCCTTTGTGGTCGTTAATAGGAGCAAACGAAGAGGAGCACAACACTCCCCTCGTTACAAAAAACTTCTACGATTAGTCTATCTATATCAGTCTAAGTTTGAATCCTCTCTCCCTATCATTAACCATAAAATAAATAAAGAGTTATTAAAGTTTAACTTTATTCAGCATAAACCATCTTTGGTTGCCATGGACTGGAATTATAGCCCAAATTTGCTAGATATACGACCATTCATCAATTATCGACTCTTATTGTTAAATGATAGAACAACGAGGAGGAATTGTATATAATAAGTGCACACTGTACTGATTGACACCTAAAATCACCTGTTCCTTGACATTGGCCTAAATCCTCTTAGGATGTTCACAATTATTGGCTTATTGCGACTGCGAAGCCATCACCAATCTATTGATGCTTATTTCGTCCACAAAAAGCGATTGGTGTGTTGGAATATTAGGCGAATGCAATTATTTCAGTGCTTTTAAATTTATATGGAAGCTTAACCCATCAATAATTGCAAAAACCAAATCACTTTGCTATGACAAATGTTAGGTACATGACTTTAATGAGTAGTTCCAGTAGTAATAGAGACGAGCTGTAAACTCAGACGTCCGGAGTTTGAATTTTTGTAACCTTATGAGACAAGGTCATGAATGATTTATCTCTCATGAATACTTTAATTCTGGCATAGATGATCTATTTTTGATCGGATCGAGAAAGGTATTAGTCGAGATGCACGTAAACTAGATCAAACATTCTAACCGTTAAACCAATAAGAAAAATGTTGGGTATACGTATGATTTCTGGGGAAGTTACCTTGCACTTGCACAAGGTTGATGCGTGTGTGTGTGTGTGTGAATAGGGTGTGGTTTATTTGATGCTGTTCACATTAGGGTAGGGACATGGGTCATCTAAATTGTTTAATATATGCGCTCTTGTTTTGTTTTGGTAAGAGGGTTCCAAAATTTCAATCCATTAATGCCAAAATCTAATCAATAACTAGTCAAAAAATGAAAGTAATTTGCAATTTTTTTTCTCCATTTTTTGCTCTTGTAAATGGGGCAAAGGTATGAATCCAACAACACACGATTCATACACGGATAAGCCAAATTTTGAGCTAAGAGGATTTGTGCGAGTAGTTAAAGAACAACATATCGAAGCACTATTTGACATCAAATCCCATCAATTGCACATCGGTTTCCTTTTCTCCTCCTCCTAATAGTATACTAAATTCACCTATGCATACTTCCTAATCTTGGCCGTACACAGATTAATCCAATTCAAAATACACACGGGTAAATCTAAGATTATTTATTTTTTATTTTTTGCATATAACGCTGTATATAACTCATAAATAAAATGGGACCGAAACGTTACAAAACTAATAAGACTTTAACCCCAACCCATATTGAATTTTTACAAAATATTCACCCTAGCTTCCCTCGACTTTTATTGCATGAATATGCGATAAAATATCATGTATACAAAGATTGATTTCTCATGTTACCTCTTTAGGGGTTCTATTGTGCACTCTTCACCGTCTCCGTAGATGCTTTCTCGTTTGCTATCAATGCATTGTTCAAAAATCAGTAAATGCTTGCTCAATACGTTATGAGTATATTGTTCAAAAATTAAAATAGTTAATGGGAATCGGTATATTAAAATAAATAAAGAGAGGGCAGTTATGGTGTCTACAAAAGAAATATATATAATACCATTTTTTCCCACTTTAATCATACGTAACTTTCTTTAATATTGTATGATCGACTATATTTAATTATTCGTAACTCTTATAACCACCTAGATGAATCTATTCTAATTTCAATCCTTTTTTTTTATCTATAAACAGAAACCGTATGTGCATGACCCCCTAATTTAAAAAAAAAACTAATGCTGTTGGGATTTAACACGATTTAAATCCACTAACAAACACACACAATCGAAGAACAAATCAAGAATATAAAGTAATAAGAAACAAGAAAGAACAAGACACAGATTTTACGTGGTTCGCCAATTTGCCTACGTCCACGAAACTGCAGGGATTTCACTATTGAGAGAGTTGAATACAGAGAGCGGCTGTACAATCCACGATTAACCCTAATCACCAAAACAACAGGGTTTATATGTCTTACGCACTGGGCTGTATAACGGGCCCAAAAATTTTTCTCGGGGGCGTTGCTCCCGAACCCCCACGAGACTTGTCCATAAGCGCTACGGCTTAGGCCTATCGGCCCAAGCCTTCGCTCCATGGATTAAGCCTCAGAAAATTTTTCATTAAAAAATCACACAAACATTACTTCGGATTGAGTCATCATCCAAATTATATATACAAACTAGACTTCATAAAAAAAAATCAATAAATGCAATATAAGTAAATGACCATTCTTGCATCATGTACTTGAACTAAAAGTATTGGTGTCGTCATTGATTAATATCATTATCATGCTTATGAAATCATTTGCCTCCAAGATCCCATCAATTCTATTAATTATTTTATTATTGCCGTTAATTGGTCATTTTCCCTAACCTCCTCTTTCAACCCTTAGCCAATAACCTCATCTCGACTAAATTAAGAACACAAAAGTTTACTAGACTAGTAAATATTTAAAAATTTTGAAAATAGTCATATACTTCAATATTTTAGTCCATCATCTTTGTCAAGTTGAGAATGAACCTTCTTTTTTTTTTAACAGTCAGGAGTGTCCTGACTAACGCACCTCGATTAATTTTTTTTCCGATCCGGTCAAAAACAGTTCATTTGTGCTGAAACTAGGGTATTCATGAGGATAAATCTCTTAAGACCTGATTCCAAAGAGTTATCAAAATTTGAACTCAGACCGTCTAAGTTTATAATTCGCTTTTCTTACCACTTGAGCTACCATTTCGAGTTAAGAATGAACCTTCACTATGGATTATTCAATTATGATTTAGGTATTGCATGATCCAATCAAAGTAATGGTCTCTCACCAAGCGGGATAGAATTAAGTGTATCTAATCCTCTATAAATAACATCATGACAGAAGTCTCGTGCACTATGTGAAAATATTACATTTCACATCAAGCTGACAATACTCCATATATCTATAATATTCTAGTAGTTGAATACAAAATTCCCCATCTATATCAGAGATTTGTATCCTTTCTGCAATCACAAGCACAGAAAAAAACAAGTGCTGGTAGACTAATAAACTCAGAAAATAGTTGTAATAATATTATAGAATGCAAATTTAGGATGATAAGCCAATCTTGATAGACATATAGGAGTTTTTATTTGCTTGAGATGTTTACTCTCTCTATTAACCTTACACGGCTCTTTACCAAAGATAAGGTTTGAATAGTTAATTCAACCATAAGCAACAAGTTAAGAATAGGATAATTTTTAAACATTGATTGAAGGAGGGTTGCTTTCAAAGAGATCACCTCAAGTCCCACTAATAAATAGACTCATAATGTGGACTAGTATATTGAAATCAAGAAGTATTAGCCAAACTCCAAGATAGTTCAAGTAATAATAAATACGAGTTATAAATGTAAATGTCCTGAGTTTGAATTTTGACAATCCCTTGAAACTAGGTTATAAAGATTATGAGAGATTTATCCCTCATGAATACACTAATTTTGATATGAATGACCTTACCTTCAATCGGACCAGAGATGAGATTACTCGTGGTGCGCATAAGTTAACCCGAATATTCCGACCGTTGAAAAAAAGAAGATGTATTAGCCACTAAGTGTTTGTTTGTTTATATCAATGCAACAACCTAGATAACAAGTTTTGCTTTTTAAAAAACAATATAAATAGCAAGCTAATAATGAATGAGATTTGAGCTAGGTTTTTGTTTGTCAACCCTAAGCCTAAGGTTAATTAAGCTAATACACATTGTGGTTCATCATGATTGAGTTGGTTTTGGGATATTTGAATCGGGTCGTAAAAGAAATTAAAAGACCTTTTAATTTTAGATTTATATCGAAAATCTTAATTAAGTTTGTGACATGTCAAGGTTAACAAACTTACAAGTTGGTAGGCTACTTGGGGATAACCTTCCTTGTACACATAGATTGAGCTAATCTCTAAGCTGTGTTTGCTATCATCACATTTACATTCATGGACTAACATTACAAAAAAGGGGTTTGTGATTATCTTGCATTGGAAGGTTGCTTAGACAATTTGCACATACTTCGAAGCCTAATTATTAAACGAGACAACACATCGGATTTTTACTAGTCTAAATCCACATTTCAATTAAAAATTCTCGATCAGAATATCTTATGGATCATTTTTACAACAATATCCAAATTTACTAAAAATCAGAAGTTCAATTGAATAACTAAATTAATTTGAATTTTATTAAAATAAATAAGAATTTTAACTTAATTTAATCAAATAATCACTTGATTTGATAGTATTTTATATACATAAATGAATATAATTTGAATCAAAATCACAACCAATTTGGAATTAATTAGTGTATCAAATTCCGAATCCATGACATATAACTAAAAAAACTAATTCATATTTGACTCTCCAGATTCCAAATTTGAATTAAATTTAGATAACAATCTAAGTCACTACATGGCTGACGATGATGGACTTTGGTTTAACTTGGGAAATAAATAACTAATTTTTTTTTTTTTTTTTTTTTTGGGGGGGGGGGTTTGTGTGTGGTGGGTGAGGGTAGTTTAAGGGTGTCAATCGTACTATGTCATGTTTATTTCGTGTCATTTACGAGTTCTTATCGAGAGGTGATTAATTATAATCTACTAATTTCTTGTCAATTTCAAATTATATCGTATCCAAAATTGCCACCCGTAGGGTAGTTTAATAGAGCTTGGTAGTAGTCCACGGTTATAATGTGGATTCACTACATTGGGAACCTAGACATGTACCGAGGAATTATTGTGCACAAAGAAAAAGTAGGCAATCTTTGGTTAGGAGAATTTGACCCATTCTTCAACTTGGGTTGCACGCATGGGTCACAAGATCTAGGTCTTGGAATAGACAATAATGGTTTCAAACTCGGGCCAAATTTGGGAAATTTCACTCAAACTATTTACCTATTTAACATGTTTCAATTTCACCGAGTAATGTTATTGATATCTAAAAAATTGACCTATCGATGTGTCAGGGACATCATCCAAAAATATTATTATGATCGTAACAGTTGAACTTCTTCATTAAGATTCTATCAATTGACCTTTTAATAAATTAATAAATTAGATCAATTTTTTGATCTCAAAAACATTATTATGTCACTACTAGTCAAATGTGAATGCTAGTTGTTGAACTGTTCCTTCGTTGCAGTTAGGTAAACTGTATCAGTTTTTACCCACGAAAACGTTTATATTAGAACCACGAAGCCACTAGGCACTAACTAAAACTGTTCACCTAACCTTCAATTTTAATCAATTGTGCTAGGAAAAACCTTTGACCTATTTGCCTAATTATTCAATTAAACCGGACGTACTAAGATCACGCTTTCATATAAATAACAGTAGATTAGTAACTAAGTTAAAAAAAAAACCCAAATAAAAAGAGAGCTTAATTGCACCTAAACCTCCCCAACCAGCAAATTGAGGGTCCATTTGCTCATACAATTGATCTAGTCATTCGTAACCACGTTATATTGATAGTGAGTTCTAGTATTTGTTAAGACTAACAACTAATTCAATGACTGTGATGAATTACGTTAATAAACTAGGTCAAAATAGTATTATTGTTTATTATTGGAAGATATAAAACAAAGTGATAAATCGTACCCGTTTAAGGTTGTCTTTGACTTTCATGTGACTATCAAGTAGGGTTCGATTTACCAAAGCAACACGGTTTGTTATTTGGCTTTGATAGTGCTGTGGTGACGGGTTACCCTTTCGAGAATTACGCCCCCTCCCCTTCTCTTTCCTGACCCAAAAAAACAAGTTTATGGGCATCATTTAGTCCCTTCGAGGATCAAATGATAATTAACCATTTTCATTCTTGTTTAAGGAATCCTCACAAATTCAAAAATATTCACTCTGACAGGTCACATATTCATACGTGGCAGAGAGAATGAGAGAGAATAGAAGCTTTAAGGATGGAATAGAAAATGGCATTTTCGAACCAAGTATAACAAAACTGTTTTTTTTTTTAATTTCTCCAGAGCCTAGATTGAATATAATTTTGAGCTATTGTATTGAGAAATGGCTGTGTGCATAGGTAACAAAAAACAATTCAGGAGAGGATTCTTTAAATAAGGTGATAAACTAGAGTCATCAGACGTTTGTTTTGTCCTTTTGTCTTGGTCGCAGGAAAATATAAGGAGAAGGATGTACAATTGAAGAGTATGGATGGAAGGTGTGAAAACATATCCCCATGCACAACTCCTTTTGTAGTCTCTTAGAGATCATAAATATAGATGCAAATCAAAACCCAAATGGGTTCATTAAGGGAAGTGAGCTTCATTAGAAGTCCATGGCCTTGACTTGGGTTCCTTGGGTTGGTGTTTAAAAGAGAGAGAGCTTAGCTTAAGCTTCTCATCAATCTATCTCCATTACCAATTACCCAGAAAGGACGGCTGAAACTTCGGAGGCAGAACCCTTCTCAGGAAGCATATAATTCCTTTTATACCGAGGAAATTGTACTGCAAACTACAATTTACTCTTTGTCCATATCGAGACTTCTTCATAGCTTGTACAGTTTCCTAAAGCTTCTCCCAGTAATAGAGAACTTGTTTTAAGATTTGCAACGGGCCATTATATTCACTTCTATTTACAGTTCGAATAGTGTTCAGTGTGCCCAACACTTACTCATCTCTCTTGAGAGGTTCGTATAGACGGGGAGGTTTCAGGGAAAAGGAGCAGGAATATGGAGGAGAGGAATGATGCAGATAAGATTGATGATGTGATGTTGCCTGGTTTTCGATTTCATCCTACAGATGAGGAACTTGTGGGGTTCTACCTGAGGAGAAAGATTCAACAGCTATCTCTTCCTATTGAGCTGATCAAGCAAGTGGACATTTACAAATATGACCCGTGGGATCTTCCAAGTAAGATAATCCATCTCCATGCACACTGTTCTCTGAAACTTTCTTAGTACGGCAAACAATCGTCTTCATTCATCTTATTTTTTGAATATTTGGTTTCAAGGTTGGGATTGTTTAAATGGATCGTTTTTATTCTTCAAAACCTTATTTTGACTGCCTCTCCACATAGAAAGTTTTCTTGCCATTGCATTCTATAGAATACTTCCTGTTGCTATCAACTACTCCATGTTTGGAGGATTCAGTTGTCATGTTCTTATAGCAAACAAAAGCTTCATGTTGTTTGCAGTCAAATGTTCTATATATCAAAATAATAAATTCCATGTTTAAGCTCTATGCTAACCTCTTCCTAGCTAATAGTTAATTGAAACTTCTGACACAACCTCCAGAAGTTTTAATGCTGTATTCTACTACTTCTAAATACTTAAGTTCAGTGTCCTGAGGAACTGCTAACTAAGAAGAGTTGTTTCCTTTCCCTCCCAAATCTTCACCAGAATTGGCATCTACTGGGGAGAAAGAGTCGTATTTCTACTGTCCAAGGGACCGTAAATACCGGAATAGTGCAAGGCCAAATCGTGTCACGGGAGCTGGATTCTGGAAGGCAACTGGGACCGACCGTCCCATATATTCGTCAGATGGCACCAGATGCATCGGTTTGAAGAAGTCCCTTGTGTTCTACAGGGGAAGAGCTGCGAAAGGGTTAAAAACTGACTGGATGATGCATGAGTTTCGACTACCTTCTATCTCTGATTCAGCACCACCCAAGAGGCCCTTTGATAAAAACCTTCCTGCAAATGTAAGTCCTCTACAATTTCTAACGTTTCAGTTTGTTCTTCACTTCTGTTGGAAAAAAAAAACCCTGTATTCTGTAAGCCTTATTTCTCTACCTTGGACCCCAGGATGCATGGGCAATTTGTAGGATATTCAAAAAGACCAATTCGATGACACAGAGAACTCTTTCTCACACTTGGGTATCTCCATTCCCTGAAACTCCAGCATCTGATATGTTCACCCCAGCCGCATACTCTACTCAGTTCAGTTCAGGGAACATTTCTTGCACAACTGAAATGGGATCAGGCATCCAGTTATGCAGTAATAATGACTTACAACAAGTTCCTACAACTGCTAGTTTTTCGGCACTTCATATACCCTCATATAAACCCATGAATCCAGCGGTATGTAAACCAAATCCTTTTTCCATTCCAAGTGGAGACCTTCCCTGTGGCTTCATGTCTTCACCTCTTGAGATGTCAGGATCCACCAACAAGTCAACAATAGACGTTGCTTCCATTCTTTTTAATCTTTCCCCTGCCTTTATTGGGGATGAAGGTAACGCCTCTGAGAATATTGACTTTGTAGGGTCACCACAGCAGTTCAACTGTTTTCCAAGTAGTTCAGCACAAGATATACAAGCAAGCATAGGAATGGGAGACGAGGATGCAGATTTAAGGAAGGATCATAGTGCAGCCCATATTAATCAGTGGGGAAATGTCCGATCAATTGGATTTCCATTCAGTTTGTCGCCAAGTCTGCCCGATGCATGGAAGCCTAATTTGCCGTGGGATTCGCCTCCCTGTCCTAGTGAGATGTCCACTTCCACAGACAAATGTTACACTTAATTGCATAAAGTTATAAACAAAAAAGAAAGTAGTTCACTTCTAGCTTTGGCATAGGCAAGTCGAAGTTGATATCAAAAACATATTCTGTTCACAGCCTTACTGTACAGTTTGGATGTTCAACAGAACGTCTATCACAAGCATATCCTGTACACAGCCATACTGTACAGTTTGGATATTCAACAGAACATTTTCGGGTGAATATATTTCTTCTATTTCAGTCATTCTCTTTTCTCGATTTTGTTTTTCGTTTTTCCAATACACAGATAAAAAACAGAGGTTAGACCCTTTTGATCTGATACTTTGCTTGCTGAAATTAACTCATGTTATAGAACAAAATTGTCAATGCAACACGGTTTAAAGTCAAGGAAACAGGATGTTTCATATAACTTATGAAGTTCCAGTATGGATCTGTCAGAATTACACTAACCATTGTTGTTTTCTCAGAATTCCATGTGCCCTATACTGTGACATAACTGTTAGAAAACAAAGGGTCTGACATCAAACACTCAGGAAGTTTCAAAAGCCTGGACGTCTCAGGTTACCTTCTAATCTGAACCTAGCTTTTTTGTATCAAACATGCAGTTGATTAGCAAGGCCCATTCCAAACCCAATCACTTAGGGCTGCGCATGTTGAGTTAGAAGAGCATAACCTTAGAACTCCTTCCTTTCATTTAATCATTGTTAGTAGAAAAGCATAACGGTACTAGGAGAAATAGTAGGAGTAGCTCCAATTAAGAATAAGTTGAAAGTTGAGAGAGAATAAATTAAGATAATTTGGTCATATTCAACAGAGGCCGATAGAATCACCGATTAAAAAAGGTGATAAAATTTGTCTTAATGTTACTCGGAGTATGAGCGTATAACGCATGACCGAAACAAATAGCGAAGACGGATTCATATGGCTGACCCTAAATGATCGAGACATAAGGCTTAATTTGGTTGGTTGGTTGGTAAGCAGAAAAGAATAATATGGTTAGGATTCAAACATCTAAAAGGCGGTGCCAAGGGTGCAAGCGCATTTTGATAACCTAGGAAACCTTGAGGTCCATGTGTCTCTGCCATGATTTAACTGAACTATTCACAGAAAAATCACTCTAAAGGGAGATCATGGTCAAAAGAGCTCTCCATGCTTGTGGGATTTACTTCATATTTACAGAGAAAAAAGCATTTACTTCATGTTTAACCAAAAACACTAGTCAACGACAATACTATCAGGGGGTCATATTCTCATTATAATCTTCTCAAGAAAAGCCAAATTATCTATCTAGTCTAAGGGCTTTCACATACACTATTTCACCAAATCACTATTTATGAAAAACCAATAAACTATTAACTTCAAATGCATAGAGAGAAGTAAAGTACCTGCTGCAGTTTTGTACAATTGTTTCTCCATAAATCAAAAAACATATCATTCATTGCTTCTGCATAACTTCCCCCCCCAACCCCCCCCCCCAAAAAAAAAAAAAAAGAACGAACGGAGATTCACTGAACAATTGAACACAAAAGAAAGTAAGAAACTAGTATAATTCAAAGCAACAGGAAATCGGGAGGCACCCGCAATAACAGAAGTTCAAATTGGGGATTTCAAACAACACAAACCATTAGCTGCAGCTATGCATTTCCTTAAACGGCACGGTGTCGGAGGACAAACTGATGAAATTGAGAGCCTGAGCCTTGGGGGGAACCAAGCATGATGACTTTCCGGTGAGTGATTTTGTCGAACACAATGAGGCCATTACGATCCACGGAAATCAACTTTCTATTTGTCAGCTCTAAAAGTCCTAGGTTGGAGAGAGCGCTTAGCTATCTTCAATCGCATATTCTCTAACTCCAAGGTTGTTGGTGGAGACGACAATGAACAGCATTCTAAAACATTGATCCTTAGAATTTATCCGGTGACATACAAAAATCTCATTTTCTCCAAGTTAGCCGGCGAAATTCAATGCCTTAATAAGCAAAGAGATAAAATATATTTCTCTGGATTTGGATAAGAAAGGTCAAGATGGCCGAGTTGGTCTAAGGCGCCAGTTTCAGGTACTGGTCCGAAAGGGCATGGGTTCGAATCCCATTCTTGACACCATTTTATTTTTCACTTCAATTTGCTCTCCCCCTTTTTATACGAGTACATGGAATGCTCTACCATCTCTAATTCATCAAAATTATTATCATCTCATCTTTTCAAAATCTTCCTTAATAAATTATAATTTTCTTTCAATTTTTGGATATCTACGTATCTGGTTTTTTTTAGGACGTATAATCGAACTGAACCTGTTGAGCTAATTTTTTTAAACGAGTTAAAACAAACTAAATCCGAATAATTTGACTATCTTATATATAAATAAAATATTTTCTAAACAAACTTAAAATATAATTCCTCGAATTTGAGTCAAACCTAATTAACTCGACTTGATTACCAACCCTACTTCCTTCAAAACAACCAGCAGTTTGAAATACCGAAAGAGACGAACAGAAGAAGGCAAAACATTTCCATGGTAAAGAGTGCTTTGCAAAAGATTTGCCCCTTTTTCATGCGGAAGATTCTTGGCTACCTCTAATCACAGAGCAGGGGAAGAAGTTTGTATATGCGTATCGCTCTTGGTTAAAAATCCTCTAGAGACAATCCCACTGGTCGATGATGCAAAATGACGGCAACAATGGTCAGGGCATCAAGACTCAAGAGAGAAGGCCTTTCTTCCTCGGATTTAGATTCCATCCGATATATATTGTTTCTCCAATTACTCTGCCATGAATTATTCAAGATTCAATATGTATACAATGAATCACATCTGAATTGACAATACCAAAGCTTGATTGTGAAATCAAAAGCTCTCGTCTTCCTCCGGTACACACCACTTCAACTAAGAAAATGCTACAAATCAAACACAAAAATTTCACTGATGTAGCTTCCTTCGTTGCCATAGTATGGAGACAGGGTGTGAGAAACCATGGATTCAACACCCGAAAAATTAAAGCTACTCTGCATAGATAAACGTCCCAGAAACTTCCAGTAATGCTACTCCTTGGTTAAGACACACAAGTGAGGTAACACAGCACCACCACCGTCAGATGATTAACAGAACTCAACTTTTTCCTGCCCATCGATACCACTTTCGTTTTGTTCTGTAACAAACATTAGCTGCTATAGGGTGGATTCTATCATTCTACCCAGATCAAGGTGTGCCCAGGATCCGAAAGGATGAAATGGAGGACCAGTGAAATCAAATGGCAAGATAGTATACATTGAATCACGAAAATATCAGACTTCTGGAGGCCGATTTGTCGACAAGTGAACACCCACCCACCCACCCACCTTACAGTCTTGAAAAAATCAGAAGAAAAACAATTCTCCAAATATAGAAAACAGCTCAACAAAATCTTTTCCATATTTCTTCATCATTGTCACTTTAAGTGTGAAAATTTTCCTTCCAACATTTCCTCATTTAATACCCTTTTGCCGTATCACTCCCTCATTTCAGCTCTTTGAGGCTTGCTTTTCCTTTGCCTTCTGGATCTTCAGGACCTTTTTCACAATCTTTTGCTCTTCAACCAAGAAAGCTCGGATGATCCTACCAAATGAAATGAAATGTAAAAATTAAATAAAAAGATCCCACCATTTACTTATTAATTCATGACAACCACCATAAAATACATATTATGGAGATAAGATTAACGGAAACTAATATCTAAAGGCTATGGACATACCTCCCCCGAACAGCACCCCCAGACAATACACCACCATAGGCACGATTCACTGTCCTATGATTCCTCGATAGTCTAGACCTCTTGTATTCAGCAGGTCTCAAGTGAGGAATCTGCAAAAAGAACCAGAGTTCAAATATTTATATCATAAGAATAAAACTCAATGCAAGATCTATAATGACACTGCTCAAATATAAGCCATCTGTATCGCAGCTCGTACTCATGAATTTAGCATAAAACAGTTTAATGTAAATGATAAGGACCTTCTGGAAAAAAAAAATTTATTGCAAATGCCCCACGAGACATGGGAATCTTCCAGAAGGCCAGGAAGATCATAATGGCACAAATGGAGTGCATGCAGGAAATATTCAATGGAAAACAATGAGAATCAGATTATAGTAAGCTGTTCATACTATATTAAGAATCCCAAATGCAGGGAAAATGACATAAGAGAACAAAGGACAATTTGACTGAATGTGCTAAGACATGAAAGTGCCACAACACATGTCAACGGATTCGTTTTGTAAAATGTAAATACAAAATGAAATGCAAGGATTAAAATTCCTGACTAGCATAGGACTACGTCATATAAGCGGAAAGTTAAAATAAAACAGAAAAATCACCCATGAAAAGAATGCAAATCTCAAGCATATCACACAAAAAACTTAGGATACCAACAATAAAGAACTACAATCAATCAATCTAAAACTAAGATCGCAGTTTGTAAAGAAAGTTGTAGTTTACAATAAGTCAATACCAGAGAAGCATTCACAAAACATTCAAGTCTGACATCCATTTGCATCAACCTTACAAGTCCACTATTACTTAAAGCCATAATTCGTGAAAAAACTCATACATTATCACATTTCACAAAAAGAAATTCTTTATTGCCCAAATCATCTAAAGCTCTGGTGTTATGTGCAAGGAGTTTTCGTAAATTGATCATCAAACATAAAGCACACTGAATATCTAATTCTGAATGTAATATGCATGTTTGAATACAAATTTAACCAAGAAAGAACCACACAAGCATACCCCTTGGATTCTCTTTCCGGTAACAGGGCATTTGGGTCCGCTAGCTCTCTTTTTGGTGCTCTGGTACACCAACTTGCCTCCTAAAATTCCCATATATTTAGATCAATGAGAAACCAAACACCAATTTTACAAAACAAAACACATGAATGCATTGATTGACAAGTAAGATTCCATTACAAAGGCGCAACGCATTAAGACAATCTTAAGATCACGTTAAGTAATCACTAACAAACACAACACAGATACAGCTGAAACAAATAAAAATC